AGGTTAAACTCCCTTAACGGATTCTCAGAGGTGGAGAAACAGCATGCTGTACGGAATGGGCCTCATTTTTCTTGCCCCTCATCATCCCGGAGTGACTGCGGAAATGGACCCCAATGAACAGATTAAAGTCCCTGACGCGATCCTGAACCAAACTGCCAGGAGGATCATCAGAGCTCGGCTCAATCCTCTTGAATGGTTCAATACAAATTTCTAACAAGGATTCGTATTTCGAAGGACCCCGTCGCCGACTTGAAGCGGACAACGACGCAGCAGGTGACAAGATTTACTCACCGTTCCCTTTCCAAGGACGACCACGCGGCCTTTAAACGCGTTTACATCGCGGATAAACGTGTTCATGAAAACTAACCTTATTTTCGGTGGTGCGTGTCAAAGATGAGCACATTCTGAAACATATTTTGGCAAAACATGCTAATCTCGTCTTCAAACTAATCCGATTCCCGAATTGATGTGTCCCCCATCATCATAGATTCCAACTTGTGCAAGAGCAGCGTCATGAAGTGGAGAGGAATTCCCCTCTTTCCTCCGCTTTCAATGAATGAGCGAGGCGAATTAGTCCTGTTTGCACATGTCCACCGACCTTCTCTGTCCGCTCTTGTATTCCGTTTTTTTTCTACAATTTGGCCGACCTTAGTTTCGCTCCCTCAATGAATTGAGAATGAAGACGACATGGCATAATATAAATCTCTCGTGATCCTCACGCATGACACACCCGCTCACGAATTTCAGTTCCACGGCCAGTCCCTCACGTGAAGACCTAGGGGTCTTCGTGTGAGACGCGACTCATGGGATACAGGGTGTCGTATCCGTTCAAGTTCTTCGACCTCGATGTCGAAGAAACGGATGAACGAACAGTTGAAATGAAGCATGGAATTGAAATGCATACGACAATAATGATCCATTCGAGAAATCCAATCTTGACTTTACGTATGTTTTGCCTTTAAAATGTGCACCCCAGCCATAACATTCATTTTCCTCTACTCGCGCGTCGTCTACGAGAGGAAAGGGCGATTCCGACGTGCAGAAACTCCCGTGACGGGGATGTCAAGCCCCTGAAGGTCTCCACAGGTGCCACATTCCACCTAGGTTTAATACTTGAACACATAAACAAAGGTGTGCAGAACGGGTTGGTTTCGAATAATCGAAACTCATGTCAACAAATAGACACTTGGTGGAAACGCGATCGCGAACGCGACAATACATGAAACGCTTCTTTCATGGAGGTGTCTGGAGATCGAAATGTTCAATTCACCTAAGGCTTAAGGGCCCGAAATAAATAAGAGCTTCAATTTGCACAAAGAGTCTCTTGCAAAATGCAGCTATCAAGGCTATGAAGCTACTAAATGAACCTGAGACGCTGATGTTCTCGACCTTAAACTATTCAGACGCCTTGTTCTGGGCATGAGGGCTGCACTTTTGTTTAGTAAGTAGACCTACACAATCTAGCTTCTGTGTTTACTACTTCAGATAGCTGGGTTGAAGGTGAATCGAGGATGCGCCCCCATCCCTGAATGCCGGGAAACAGTCAACAAAGTCACGATGAATATCCTGGTTATTCGAAATTACTCATAGGTCATGCTTCTTGTGGCATGCTGTTGCTTCAGGCTTCCGAAAATGAGAGCAATGCTCACGATGAGATGAGAGATGAGAGATCCCATTAGTGCCGCATGCAAAATGATAATGACACGGAAGCTGTAATTGACAAGGGAAAGCAAAAGAAAACGTTTTGCTGTCATGGTTTGTTCGTGCAGTCTTGAGTTCCTCATCAGTAGCTATCCCATTGTCTTGCTTGGGATATCGTCCGTCTTCATCAAACATATTCCGATACCAATGGTTTTGTTACACATTTTAGAAATAATACGTTTTGTTCAATTTCGCCACATGGAACATTTTTTTCCCTTAAAAATAACAAAATTAGATATTAAAAAAGGGTACACTTACTGATAGGCTCACGCTCTGTGCTATAGCAAATGATGACGAACAAAAATTATTATCGAGAAACTTGGGGATTTAACTCACTTGACCATGCTCTAGTGCGCTCGGAATGAATTCCGGAATACATGAGACTGAAAATGGTATATATAGGTGGTATATATACATTTCCGCATGTAAATTACAAAGGGGCCGAATATGTTTCAATATTACAAAGGTATCACGCCCGGATGCAATAGCACATCGAAGGTATTGACGAGGTCCAGAATGAAATGAAAACGTACATGAAGACGGGAGCAAACTAGTTTCAAAGAAATTCCATCCTGCTGTCCTTACTAGGGGAATCGGCGCTCACGCATTCAAAGTCTATATACGCGCGCATATAATATATTTCCCAGAATGGCCTTCATATGAGCAAACAATGAACGGAATGTAAGTTTCAGTTTGATCCCGTTGGAAGTAGCAACCTTAACTCGCGATACACTTCTCCCAACTATCGTAAATACCTCGGAACATTGGTCGTAACCATTATTGGTTACCTCCCTAGCCTCATTTGTCCCAGCTATCTGCATAGGGATTGCGTCGTTGAAGCGGATGCCTTTCATGCGGCACTTCATTCCGGAAAGATGGAGGATCAGGGAGCAATGTCGCACCTCGACTGGTTAGAAATCTCATAGTGCTGCCATGGTACAGATTGGTTGCCGGCAGTCGCAACTCAGAAAGATCCTACAAATCTTTATTCTAGTCTGAAAATAAAACCTATACACATAAGGTGGGCGATATATATTCATATAAAATCGAAGTCTTTTTGCATTTCCTGTACAAATAACTTCTGAGGGAATCAATTTAACCTCAGAAGACATAAAGGCTCAGAGTAACTATTGACGAAATGTGCTCGATGTGTCCCCGTTCTTCTTGATGACAACCTGAAAATTGTTGAGTCTGTCAGTCGATTTCACTTAAGGACATTGTTTCATTCCTCTTTCAATACGAACCTTAACTTGTTCGTATGATTGGATTTCGTCCATGAGCACTTGCTTCCAGCTGACATCGCATCCGTTGGATTACGGTCAGAGTTGTATGGAGGTTATTCGTATCTTCCATCATATCTGCCTCATGGTTAGCCGGACAATATTTTAACCCTCTAACCAAATCTAGGCAGAAGGGGTTTTACGTTAAAACAGTCAAGACTGACTACCAAAGCGAAACTCACATCGAGGTAAAATACATTTTTTATTCCCTGTTTTTAGGTGTACATGAATAGAAAAGTTACAAGTGGTATGAATATTGATGGCCCACACTGTACTTTGCGCATGTGAAGGCTTTTCCTGGAACTTTTGATAGACCCATCTAAATGGTTCCTTCCGCGGATGCCAAATAGACAAGTTTCATGAAACAATCCCAGGAAAACATGTGAAAATATAAGTGGAGAAAATGGCCATTGCAGAGATGAGAACGGTCAAACTTCAAATCAACAGGTGCACATGCACATCCGTGACGAGAACTTGGCTTACAAGTGTGCAAAGGTTAACCAACGTTCGTTTCTTTTGGTTACACAACAATTATGGTGAACACGGGGGTACCAAGATATTGGCGCCCATTATTGGTAAAATTAATGGATTGCATATCTGCACACCTTGGGATGGAAGGTATGCTCTTTCGAATTCACTGCAGAAGGCCGTGAAAAGGCAAACGCCACACAATAAATTAGAAAAGAGAGGAGCGTTCCCAATATTACTGGTGAGAGAAAGACCAAGAGGAGCTAATACAGATAGTGTGAGGGAGCGGGGGTTGCTGAATATACAGGGTACAATGTGGACTAAAAAAAAAGCTACCATTTTTAGCGAGTTGTCATTCTGATTGTAGGCTGTCGATTCGGATGAAATTTGGTACGCGCATAAGGTGACTCGATTGGGGTTGGGGTGCTAAATTCCAAACCAAATTTTCAAATATTATGAGATTGGCATTTCATTTACTTTCACAACAAAATTAAGTGCTCATTTTTTTAAACTTAAAATTGCTCACAACTGAAAGAAAAAAACAAAAAAGATAACAAACAGAGCAAAAACAAAATTCACAAATGCCAAAAACAGAAGTGCGCGCTTTGGTTTGGGAAAGGTTCATTTCAACTGAAAAGGTGCTAAACGTTCCCTCCATTCTGTTGAACACTGGCCGCTGGCCTGGGACGCCACAGGCTCGGTCAATAAATATTTGAGGTAGTGCTTCACAAGATTCCTCTATAGCATCATGCAGGGATGGAAGGTCATGACGCCACCCTTCCATCTCGGCCTCAGGTTCGCACAAATATTTTCGACAGCAAATTTTGTCGTGGATCATATGAAAATAAGTACAGCTTCTAAAATTTTCGAGCTACGTGTAGAAAGCTGAAAATTGGCATCAAGATTCCAATTGCGTCACCATATAAGCTTACCAAGTTTAATGAAAATCGCAGCGTACAATGAGAATTAAGACTAAAAAAATAACAGCTTAGTAGTAATAGCGTGCAGGAAACACGATTTTCTTGACAAACATTGACAATTCCCACATCCAGAACTACCACACGATTGTCACATGTTTAGATTTTTATTGTCAGTGAGGGCGATCTAGAATAGCCTTCGCGGCACCTGGCGAGGGTTTGGGAAACCACGTGAACTAATGGGAATCACATGAAAGAATGAACGTTAGACTTCTGTTCCAGATGTAATACTTGCAACATCCTCCAAGCGGAGGTCACCGGGGAGTGAGAGAAAGAAAGGGAAGAAGAACCACTGACTGGCACAGTTCAGGAAGACCCCATGTGCTTCTACAACGAAAAAGCCAGGAGAATGCACACCGGGGTGGCTTGACGGAAGGACGTTCGCGGATGCGTCTCGCTCTGATGTCCCCCTCGAATGTCCCTCAAAGTGGAGAGTTCGGCACTTTTTAATGGGTGGCCAAAAGAAGATCATTCGACCCCAAGGTTAGTGAGGTGGGTACGGCGTGGAGACGAGCAGGAAAGTAGATGAAAGTAAAGAGGAAGGTCGCTGTGGACTCGCTGTGACACAAGTCCTTCAATTCATCCCCTCGCAAAACTCAATGTTACAATATTCCCATACAGGATTGGTACCCTCTCCGTTGTAACACCAAGGTCCCTCCCTATCGACATCGGGGTTCCGACAATAATTGTGATGACTGTCCATGCCAGGATCGGGGAATGCTGACAGGCGGACGATGGTCGACTGTTCGTTTGGTGTTTGGCTCAGCCAGGGCTGGCACTTCTTCCCCGACAGTGTCACATTCTTCAACCCTAAGTACTCTCGTCCGTGCTTCGTTTGTAAGCATTCTGCTGGCTCTGTGCAGTCAAAGGCAAGTCAAAGACTAAAGATAGGGCATATACCTAGTATAGCGCCATAGCTGTAAAATTTAGCCTTTCGGTCAATAAACGAAGAGCACTGAATGTAATGCTGAATATGTACGACGGGCGTTCAAAAAGTATTGCCTCATCCACCTGCGTTGCGTAATTACTGACTCTAAAGGAAAATAATTTGAAATTTTCATGAATAATGGAACGCAGACTTTAATTTGCGGTGATTTCCTCATTTCCCTGTGTACATCTTATCATAGGGAAGGAACATTTTTATTAGCCCTAGTTACATTCACTAAGCTCTGCTACTACAAAGTAGCTGGTACAGGTGACATGATGATGTGAATTGCCATGATTACTTGCATTGGCGTCGTGACTTCTTTGAGCCTATGTTAGGACTTTGTTCTTGAGAAAATTACTAACTGTCGGTAGGCTGCTCGCTCCAGAAGAGGAATGAGGAGACCTGGAAAGAGACCGCACTTTAAGGAATTCCCCCTACTGTACAATCCCAAGGAACTGTACTCTCTTCTGGAGGCCATATATGAAGAGGGTGCACGGGTCAAGGTGCATGATGCAGCTAAAAGTGTGACTATCTCGATGGGTCTGCCGAGACCATTAAACCCTCCAACTTGTGAATGATGAAGATTTGTGTTAGATGAATGGCCTACATGCTCACAAATGCATGGGAAGAGGAACTGAGGGAAATATGTATCGTGAACAGTTGAAAATAAAAATTGTAAGCATTCTTCTTATGATATTACTAATATCGGAACCTGGATTTAGTTTTTGTTAGGCCATAGAAGTAGTTAGGACGCAAGTGCAAATAATCATAAGTAATTTACGACCAGTCACTATAACATGGCAGAAGATGATGTGCGAGGTGTTTCATGGCATTGTTTTACCTCTAAAATACTTAATAAATCACGTTCCATTTACACAAGGGATACCTATTGCAGGGCGATTCTAGATTAGAATACTATGATATGATGAGAATTTGAAAGGTTACCAGGAGGAGGTGAACAAAGTCGGCATTTGCAGGGTTAAAACTTTTGCCTGGCAATAGATCGGAACACACAGATAGGTCACAGATCGGGAGAATTTAAATCACTAGTGATGGACGTAATGAGGTGATACCACCACCACCGCTCCCACCTTCTCTAATGAGTCAATCTCACCCAAACGATATCTTGTTATCAAGTCTCAAGACTGAGCTGGCACGGAAGTACCCTGAAACTTGGAACGCTCTGGAAGGTGCAACTTTCCGGTGCTCCGAACCACACCGAGAAAAGACTATTCAAAATTCAATTATTGTCAGATTTTGATGATTAAATTATGCATAGAGATTGAGCAGGAGTAAGTTGACAGTGTAGTGTGGCGGTGACATCTTAATACTAGTGGCAGGTAAACCTGCTGCAAACCGGAGGAAACAAAGTGCTTTGTTGTCATGGAGGGAGTGACCTTCGGAGAAAACCACCCAAGTAACATTTGAACAGGTTCAATTAACGTTTCCGTTAATGTATTGCCAACGTCCCGTACACGTTGCTGGGAACGTTTTATTGACCACTTAAATGTCCGAAATATAGAGCGATGAAAAAAGTTGGAATTATACGTTCCCTGAACAGCGTGAATTAACCTAGGAAAGGAATGTGATATTTCCAAGAAAAGGGTTCAATGAATTTCGCTTTTTCAGGATTTATCCAATATGCAATTAACGTTTTTAATGCGTTCCCTTTCATCACTGGGCCATTCCATGATAATCGCTCCAAAAATTCGCTAATTATCACCCGACCATCTCAGATTTTTATGGACTTTTCTATGCAAAGTTATTATGTCCGAAAATTTATAAATGTGAAATTGCAGCCCCATCGGGTGGATAGGTCAGACGCTACATGGTGGCCAAAATGTAGGGTCACCTTCTAACCTCCAATTTTGACATTGCTGTAACTCAAGGACTATTCGTACTTGAGCCTGGACTAAGGTATCAATTCGCTGGAAATTGTCAAAATTTGTATTAAAATATCATTTAAAAAAATGAAATGTCATTCATGGAAAAAAGACCTTTGGACGTAGCATGAACCCACTACTTTAAAAATCTAAAAAAAATTGCTATGGAAAGGCCAATGATTCTGCTGCTGATATAGAAATTTACAGAGAGGTAATATTTTTGCATTCCGTCAATACATTTTTAAATTAGAAGATCCCTACCACAAATGAGGCATTCCGGCTCAAGTAATCATAATCATTTTTGGCCGTGCGACTGGAATTTCGGAGCGAACATGCATGCATGATAAGTTCTCTAAGATATGAGATCATTCCAAATCGCAGCGCTCTAGCTCAAACGGTTTAGAAGATTGTAAGGCCCAAAGTTCGCCACCAAGGGGAAAAGCCACTCGAATGCCAGATGTCTATCCTTGGTCATAGTTGAGCCAGGAAAAAACATGTTCGCCTCAAATGAAAACTGAGACTAAGCTTGATGAGATTTTAGAGGTTCTCGCCCTTCGTAGTTAACATTGTTCATTAGCGAATATGATACAAATTTTCTAACTTTCATTAAGTGGAATTCAGGGCAACACAATGAGTTCCTGTCACGTTAATATTGAACTTAGCATGAATCCCTACAAACTAAAATCCCCCAAAAAATACTGTGAAAGAAGCAATGATTTTGCTATTAATATGCAGAATTACAAATAATTAATATTTTTTACATTCCGTCAATACATTTTTGAATCGGAAAGTCCCTACCACTTATGAGGGATTTCGACTCAAGTAAATGTAATCATGCTTGCGTTTGCGATTGGGATTTTGTTGAAAAAAACGCATGCAATATGAACTCTCTGAGATATGAAGGCATTCCGGATTTCAGAGCTTTAGCCTAAAAGGTTTGTCTCCTTGTCTGTAAAATTGTCTCCCAGTACCTTTGAATCTGTAACACAATGTAATTCCGGAGTTGGGGACCGCATTCATATTGCATGATTTTAGTTTCAGAAGTATCTCTCTCAATAAGTGTAAATGTATATGGAAGTCTCAATGCTGAACCTAGTGAAGAGCTATCACTGTCAACTTCATAGTGTATCGGTATAACTCACACATATTATTCCGGTGTCAACCTTCTCTTTAAAGAAAGGAAAGAAAAAGTAATTTCAGGAATTTGAATACATTTTTCGCTTTAAGTCTGTCATGCTTGAAACAATGTGGGATAAATGATCTACCACTGTTCATTGAAATCTGGTGGAATATACCTGGTTGTAACCAGGATTCCCATGCTTCGTTAAATTTTGGCAAATCAGGTTAAATGCCAAGTTAGTCGATTTGTCATCGAATCATCCCACTTAAATTTCATTCAGTCCAAGTAAAGTCATACATACGTGGCAGATGCCAAAGATCGTCTGTAAGGTATTGGAACGAATTCCAGCTCAGAATCAGGAATTTACATGTTATAGCTACTACTTTGACGTCATCTAGCGTCGGTTAGGCAAGCCTTTGGTTTAAACCGTTGTTAGATGGATACTATCAATATATATATATATATACTCGGGGAAAATATATATCTAACGTTCAACGAATATCCTCCAGAAACGGGATGTGTAGCGATTAAGGGGTACTTAAGCTGAGCGCCTAAAATGTGCTCATCCGTGTATGCTGGACGTACAAAAGCCTCTTTAAAAAGAACTTCAATGTCCTGGAGAGCGTTCATATGCTACTTGAGCACTGTCATACGTTTAAAGCCTGCAGGTTTCATTTGACTCATGATTATCCTTCGCAACCGATCCAAAGAATGGAGCATTGCGTCAACCAAGGTGAAGGAAAATCATTTAGTAAAATCCCAAGACCGAAACGGCAATGCGACACTGAGCGCCGACGTCATTTACAAAGGCTTATTTCACCAATAATTTCATGTGGCACCTCAGCACGTCAATGCAGCATGGTGCTCATGAAGCAAAAAAAAAAACATTCCACAGAGAGTTGTAATTTGAAAGCATTATATTACGTGCAGCGCACTTCCAGCCCTAGTGAGCGTGTTTCCCAGTGTTCCACAATAAACCTGTCTCGGTGCACAGACGCAAGACCGCAACTACGAGAAATGGAGCACCCAATTGTGGAGGAGTCTCAGTCTCAAAAACGACGAAGGTTAGCATCACACATCAGTTGACAGGAATGAAGGAAGACAGAGAACACGCAGCGAACAGCAGTCACGATTTGAAAATAGCATTTTTTTACTGGAAGCTCCCATCTCCCATAAATTGTAATTGCAACTGTTTGCCAACTGATAATGTGAAAGCGATGAACAATTAAACCAAACTTTGAAAACTCTCGATCTCGTCGGCTTCATTGCGTAAGCGCTTTCAAGGACTGAAGGTGACGTAAGCAGTGACAAAAGAGCTTGTCATTCTGCAATTCTGAAATTCTGTATTTTGAGAGATGGACCCCCACGATTGAAGTGCGACGATGAACTTCTTTGCAGAGCCTATGAGAACGCAAGTGGCGACGAGCAAATGAATCGCCCCGAATTTTGTCATGGAGGTTTTGAAATCCCTGTCTTCGTGGCAGCAGGCGGGAGGCACTCCAGTGAGCGATGACAGCGTTCCCTTTTGAGTACCGAGGCATATCTCGTCTCCTGGTCCATCCGAATGATGACGAGACGAGAGCGAATCTCCGATTTTTCGTCAAAGTTGCCTCCCCACCCTTTCCTGAGGTCGAATTGGAAATTTCATTCCGCAGAGACACATCCTCAGGATTCCTTCAAGGAATATTTATTTTGAAACCCCATTTCATAACTCGAATCGTTTGGCCTGTAGAGCTGCCACACACACACACACACACACACACACACGCACGCACACACACACACACACACACACACGTACACGTACACAAACACCCATTTCTCGCTCGTCCTAGTTAGCGGTCAGGATTGCGCAGGTTGTGTTTAAACTCTGGACCCTCGGTCTTGGAACAGATGTCCTCCAGTTTGAACTACCTCATTTGCGAAAGATCAATAAGGAGGCAATACTTATTGAAAGCCATTCGTAAGAGTTTGAGGGAAATCATTAATGCAAAAAATTGAAATATACGAAAATGAAAGTGCATTGGAAAATGTGTCAAGGAACAAACGGAAAACCACACGGAAAACAAAAACAACATAGCTCCTGTCAGAGAAGCTAAGCATATCGAAGGTTCTTAAAACCTTACATCAAAACAGGAATATTTTATTGCTAATTCGGAGTAAAGAGATCCTGATTTAAGAGCCTCACTGATAAAAGGAATTCCGACCTTTAGGACCATAGCAGAGCGGGATGGCACAGTACCCCCAGCCAGGATCTCCATTGGATGTGAGGCACCAGGGCCTCTCCATCGAGCCATAATTTCGGCAGAAGATCCCATGGTCTGAGCTTAGTTTGATTGGTTCATTTGATTTCATCCATTTCTCTAAAAATTCCCGAATCTTCAAGGTCGGTCCAGTGCCCTGGCGGTCTTGGAATGGCAGGTGGGAGAAAATTGATTTTGGAAATCGGAACCAATCCCAGCGTGCACATTGCTCCCCTGTTTCTGTCTTATTCTCTTCACCGTAGTATTCCTTCCCCATCTCCGTAATACGACATTTTTCGTAGTTTGGCTGCGTTACTCCTTCGCCTAAAATATAAAAAGGCGATCAATTATTGGACAGATTTGTGCATGTAAATTGGTAGCAGAAGAGCACCATGTTCCCAGACTGAAAAGTACCTTCATTCAATCTACTTGATATAGGGTAAGAATTAATGCATAGTATTGTAAAATCATGGTGATTCCCTCCGTGCAGTTGGCGGATGTTGAGGCAGAGGGTTGAGCTTCAACCACAGAATGACTTACCAAATCACCCAATGGGAATTAGCCAAGCATTCGATTATAATCGGAATGCTCATAAGTAGTTCTCATCGTCTTCTGTGTTCGATATATCCAATGTCTATGCATGTATACATAGGGACACCCATTTCTGAGAAGGAATAACGATCTTCATTTTCGAATATTCAGTTCCACTTCGTCATTATTGAAAATACTAGACACCATAAACCGAGCCTTGGTCCCAGATTACTTTCTAACGTTTAACACGTTGACGACCAGCCTATTTTTGCTTGTCCGCCGCGTGGGACCACGCGCATTTTTTTGTCAAATAATGCGTCCTGCCATCAGGACGCATGGTCCCAGAAAACTTTTTTTTGCCGAGTTTTTTTAAGATGTTGAATTTTTTTGAATTTTTATCAGTAATTACGAAATCATAATCTTCTGGAACGTTCTCAACAGTTCCAGAGGGTATTCATTGAAAAAAAATCTGCATCCTGGCATCAGGACGCATTGTCGCCAACGTGTTAAGTGAAGTTTTTGCTGGTATATTCTCATTTCTAAAATCTGACAGAACATGCCCAAAAAACCGATTATAAATGCTTTGCGTGGTTTCGCCATACACAAAACATACTTGAACAGTTGCTAAAGGATAGAATATATCGACGGGTAGAATCAGTGTCAATGTTCGTGTGTTTCCTATCCTAATAAAATGATGATTATTCGTGGAAATACCCTATGCGTGTTTGCCCTTTCCTTCCCTATTCCCCGTACCCATGTTAATTGCCATGAACAGACGAAACCCTTGTGCTGCCGAAATCGAAAGTCCCCTGCTGAAATTGAATGGGAAAACCGGCAGGAGAGAGGAGCGCTGCTGAAATTGAAATAACTTATGCCGAAATTCGTCGGAAATACTTCTATCATCCGTCTGATGATGATGACTTTAACCCAAACTTGAATAAGTTAATGAACTGCTCTGATAGACTTCAATCGCTCGAGTTTTTCGCATGATATTCATATTCTCCATTTGTGAACTGCATTGCATTACACGTTCCAATAGCGAGGCCATTGCGATAAACATGGCTCTTGAGGTAACCCCAAAGCCTGAAGTCTGCTGGGGTGAGGTCCGCTTCATACCCCCTGAAATGCTTCGAACAGCAATTTGAAATGTGTCGGTACGATTGAAGATCATGACTATTAGGAAAGAAAACACACACCAGCTGTTATTAAAACATTTACCAAATGGTAAACGTTTTTATAATAGCTGGTGGACCAAAGGTATCATCTAGTGTGACCATAATGCATCATAAATCGCCACATGATTGTAAGCTTTCTTCCTCATGGTCAATTTGGTCTACACACCAAGTTTCAGAACGTTGTGTCCATCAGTTTCTTCGGGGCAGTCGTCTGAGCAGCGAATGTGACTTTGGAAACCCTCTCTATGGCCGTCAAACGTGTTTCGAAAACATTATACATTCCGTGGCGTTATGAACGCTGGCTTATAAACATACCAGGCATAACGCCCTTTGCTTGCTTCACACGTTTCAGATACCTGCATAGTCCTACCAAGGAGTGAGCTACTGGAATGCGTGAGACTCAAGACGATGCAGTCTTACACACTCCAATCCAGCGATCTCCCTGGGCCTACCGCAGCAATAGTCGCGTGAACGAAAACGTAAGGAAGCTGTCCGGCAGTCTTTTCTTTCTCATTCACTTCTGCATTTCCAATCAGACGAGTTCCATGTTCACCTTCTTACAACGGGATGAACGAGTGCAGTACGTACAGTGCGTACTTGAAATGAAATAAGGTATTTCGTGAAATCCCATAGGCAGAGGTACTGCAACTTAAGAAACAACAAATACGTACGTAGTTTTGGTTTAGACGAGGAAGAGAGGCTCGGTAGAAAGACTCGATCTCGTGATAGTTTCTTTGAATCGCCCGCGTCGCAAGCAGGTGAAATATGCGTGCGCATGAATGCCCTCACAAGGGCAAGACGCCACTACGGATCCTGGCTGGAAGTGCCTCGTTCACGTTGAGTTCAGGAAAAGTTAACACGTTGACGACCAGCCTATTTTTGCTTGTCCGCCGCGTGGGACCACGCGCATTTTTTTGTCAAAAAATGCGTCCTGCCATCAGGACGCATGGTCCAAGAAAACATTTTTTTTTGTCGAGTTTTTTTAAAATGTTGAATTTTTTGGAATTTTTATCAGTAATTACGAAACCATAATCTTCTGGAACGTTCTCAACAGTTCCAGAGGGTATTCATTGAAAAAAAATCTGCATCCTGGCATCAGGACGCATTGTCGCCAACGTGTTAAACATTTGTTGTGCATTCTCCCAGGGCATGGCTTTTGGGTGGGTTGGCTTTTTAAAATGTATTTATTCAACAGTGAAGAGGTCTAAAGTTTAAGGTTGAAACTTGCTGGGCAGGGGTAGTTCTCTGAGTATTGATTTCAGTAATAAAAGAATACTTTAAGGTAAAACCCATTAGGAATTTTTTTCTATTAATACAATATTCCACGAATCTTTCTTTGATCCAACGAAGCAGAGAGGGATGGAAATGTGAAACTTGGCGCAGAAGTACCTGATGGATTGATGAGTAAGGGAAAAAAATCCTATTCATGAAATATGTCCCCTCAGGGCGGATTAGGGGAGGGAAGAATTTCAAGGCTTCTTTCGCTCTGATAAATGAGAAAAAGAGATATCTATAGTAAGGCGCACAAAAATGCATTGCAACAATATCAGTAATCATCTTGATTACGTTCCCTCATGGCGCATATTTCAAGAGGGACGTATTTCAAATGGGTTTTTGCGAATTCAAAAACGTAATTATTGAAAGCTGAAATGTGGCATACTTCTTTCGTTACAAACATTTGATGTTTTTAGCTGTAGGGTTTATCATGAATGACGTTTTCTTTAGGGATTTTCTTGCAAAATCCATTTTCGCTGCAAGAAGCTTCAAAGTGGAGAAATACATGTGTAATAAAAGAATACTTTAAGGTAAAACCCATTAGGAATTTTTTTCTATTAATACAATATTCCACGAATCTTTCTTTGATCCAACGAAGCAGAGAGGGATGGAAATGTGAAACTTGGCGCAGAAGTACCTGATGGATTGATGAGTAAGGGAAAAAAATCCTATTCATGAAATATGTCCCCTCAGGGCGGATTAGGGGAGGGAAGAATTTCAAGGCTTCTTTCGCTCTGATAAATGAGAAAAAGAGATATCTATAGTAAGGCGCACAAAAATGCATTGCAACAATATCAGTAATCATCTTGATTACGTTCCCTCATGGCGCATATTTCAAGAGGGACGTATTTCAAATGGGTTTTTGCGAATTCAAAAACGTAATTATTGAAAGCTGAAATGTGGCATACTTCTTTCGTTACAAACATTTGATGTTTTTAGCTGTAGGGTTTATCATGAATGACGTTTTCTTTAGGGATTTTCTTGCAAAATCCATTTTCGCTGCAAGAAGCTTCAAAGTGGAGAAATACATGTGTAATATTTGATAATCATTTGTTCTTAGGGTAATACTTTTAGGAGATTTTTTTTTTTTAGGTATATCCCCACAGGGACCTTTCTTAAAACACCGCTTTCTCCAAAAAAAATTGCTTTCACGAAACGGAGAGATAGAAACTGAAACTTAAGGACACAGATGCTTGCCCAGATGCTTATTTTGAAAATAACTCTTCTTTCGAGATATTTCCTTTTGGGGGGGGATACTTTAGAGATAAGCATTTTCCATGAAATATATTTTTCCATTAACCATTTCAGAACTGAATTAGGTCACTGTCGAAATAATATACTGTATGCATTTTTTCATTTGTGACCTCTTTTCCTATTCTACTTTTAATTTTTATATCCTACATATCGTTTTTATATTTTTTTTTACATTTACCATACCTCATATTGTACATCAGTGATGCACAACCGGTGGCATGCAGTGACTTTTGGGGCCCCTTGGATGCCTCCGGTCTCTAAAGATCCATATTTATTTGGGGCCTATTTCTGCTCATGTTCGAGGGTCTGCGGCCCTCGATCCCCTCAAATATGAGCCTAAATGTTGACCCTCTACGAGGAAAAGGTGGTGCACCATTGTTGTACATCATACATGAAATTACATAACTGAATATTACAAAAGTGACGGGTGAGAGAAGGCATCCGACGGAATTAAATCATGCATATTTGAGTCCATTGTAATGTTACGTGGGACGCAAAATCAAGAGAATCCCAATAAATCACCATAGAAACAATGAAAATGCGATGTCCATTCGAATGGACTAACGGGTCTGAAAGAGTTAAGGAGATACACAGAAAACTAAAATTCCGTCAAGATAATACAGAAAAAATTGTCCAGGGAAATTCCTGCATTTTTTCCATTTCAACCTGGCAAATATATGCTTATGCAGCACTGTTCCATGAAATTTTTATCCTAAACGATTCGAGTTAAATTCTAAAACAATAAAAAAAATTGCTGCGCATTGCATGCGATGAGCAGTTGCACGAATCCGCATAGCGTATACCTCTCTGTTCAACTAATTTAAGTAAATGAGGAACATTTTAGTTTACCAATGACGTCACATAACGAGAAGTAACGCGACAGAGAAATGAATATTCCTATGGTCCCATGAATTTTACAAGATTCATCAAAATCAATATTGAAATTGAATTATTAGCTAGTTATTAGTCCTAGCTAATGGAGCGCCGAAGGCGCGACCACAGCGAGTTGGTTTGTACGGAGTTTTTCAGATATATGTTCTGGGACAAATTTCTGGAGAAAGAAGTCCGGAAAGAAATACATTTGCTTCAATCTAATGTAAGGACGAGAAAAGTTGAAAATAGACATGAACATGTCTACTGATGATCTCATTTCCGGGAAAAAAATAATTTTCAGGTTTATTCCCTGAGGGCATATATTTTTGGGAAGAACGTTTTGCAAGTAATTTTTTTTCAGTGAATTCGGCAGAAGTAGGAGGTGAAACTAGCCGCAGAATAAGCTGATGCGATGATTCGTTCGCCATAAGTGGATTTCGATTATCAATACCCTCATGGACAAATATTTAATCGTGACCTTCGTTAAAAAAAAAAAAACATTTTCACCGCAATGAGGCGGGCAAAAATATACGATTCATACATGGCAATGAAGTGGTTTTTGGGGTTTTGATTTTACCAAAATTCCCTTCTTTTGAAATGTATGCCGTCGGTACATTTTTTTGAGTGGCAACAATTTCTTAGAATTTTTGCAACGAGAAAAATGAAAAAAGAGAAATGCAAAATTCAATACTTCAGTGGTTTCACTCATTCAGATTTCATGGTATTTTTTACTTTCAGATACCTCAGGGCACAGTTTCCGTGAAGAACCTGTTTTAAAGTAAATTGTTTAGTTCCATGGAAGCTGGTAAATATTGAAAATGGGAAAATTGATTTAACATAACCACTGGTCATATGAGGCCACAATGTCAAAAATGTTCCTGCATATTGAGTTGTACCACATTGTATGTGTGAGAATCAAAATAGATGCTTAAAAGACAATCGATATTTCCTTGGACCCTGGAGAGCCGTAGGCTCGTCCATAGCGAGTTTCTTTTGGCCCGAAGGGCAAAGAAACTCGTTTTTAAATTTCCGATTGTGCTTCATTGTGATAACTCACTTGACTTGTATTGGTCTCCAGACTCTAGGATTCTTCGTGAAACGCCGAAATCACAAAAGGATACATCGCAATACTCCCACTTCAGTTTGGGCTTTCGGGGATCTTTGATGTTGCACCAAGGACCTCCCGGGTTCCCGTTCGGGTTCCGACAGAAACTGTGTCTGTCAGTGACTTCATCTGAGAATGATCCTTTACGGGCCTCACGGATCCTGTCCACATCACCGCTGTCTCGATCAAGCCAGGGAATGCAATCGAAGCCAGAGATGGTTTTGTCCTTTAGGCCTGCATACTCCCCTCCCTTTTGGCTCAACTTGCACTCTGGAGCGCCTGCACGTGCAAACGCAGGCCAGGACCATTAGTTTCGGAATACGTATACATTATGCGTATAATTCTTATGAGCGTAACTAAAGCTATGTATGAACACTTTAATATATCTCCCTAAAATCATACAAAAACTACAATGATGATTTTGAAATTTTTTGCAGCAAACTTTTGCAAAATAGTATCCCCTTGTCATGTGCATGTTTCCCACATGTGGTAGGGGAAGAAACATACAAATTAAAGCTTTATATATTGCATCAGTCGTGGCTACCCTGTAAGAAAATTTTCGAGGCTTTTTGAGATTCGATTAGAACATCTAACAAAAAAAGGTGGTTCTCATTCAATATATCTGAGACACGTATTCGAAATCCATGTTAAGGTGACAATCAATTCAGAGGTGTTCGAAGGAATTCCGGAAAATTGTTTCCATGCCACCTTAAAAAAGGAAAACGGAGAGGAATAAATAAAATCTGGAGAAAATGTTGAACGCGTTCCCCAGTCTTTGATTGGGAATCTTAGAAACTGGCCCACCATTGAAGTTAACTTTGGCAAGTTCAATTACTTTCAAAAGTGTATTTTACTTTTCTTATCTCCACATCTTCGGCTAGCCAAACGTGCTTGCCAATGCCTGACAACCTTCGCGAGTGCATTGAATCATTTTGAAAAATTGATGACGCCAGCAATATCATTCCGTCGGCACACCCAATCATGAAAATCAGGAACGGAAGGTAACATTTAAGGGCAACGTTGTACGGTATGGTTACTGAGGAAGGAAGGAATAAAGACCGTGAAAACATCGTTCATAGGTTTCAATAAGTGTACCCAAAATCTGCACCGTCAGAAGACACTTTCTACAACCGCATGTTTCCTTTTAATAGTGGTACTCAAAAGACTGAAGATGCACCATGCCTGTCAGACTGAGCAACTCCTTTACAGAAGAATATATTGCAGCTGTTAAACGATTGGTCATAAACACCGGACGAACCATGCACCCACCAGCTTATCCTGGCAGTTCGAATCTCAGCTGGTTTCATTAAAGCCATTTTCGTATCTGATAATCTGCAGGCACTCCACTCGACCGTGCAACAGTGGGTTGCGTCTTCCACAAATTGTGATTCAAATAGAGGCTGAACAAACGTCAATGAATATGGCGCAAGTGTGTGTCAATTCATGGTGGCTGATAGATTGTTAACGAATTACAACGACCCCTGTTTGAAGATACTTTTTCCATACCGCTGTTTGAGGTAATATACCGTCCTGTGACAAAGATTGCACCTTCTACCATGTAGGATCTCACTTGTAGAGTTGATGCGCAACTACTAAACTATTATAACTAAATGCAAGTGCATATATTCCCTTCACTCTCCGCGAAATTTACACAATGCTCAAGTTCATTTTTGATCAAGTGAATCTTAAACAAAATCACAGTGAAAGTTAGTCGGCAATTTCAAGTGGGGAATGGCAACGATGGCTTTAGTTCAACCTGAGTAGATGATGTGAACAGATTATCCTTTCGTTAGAGTAAGCCCACATTAACTAGGCACAATCCGAAATTCCTTCTGGTAAAGAAATGTCTAGAATCCCAGCTTCATTATTCAGATCCACCCCAGCGTTCCCGGAGTCCAGTCGATGTTGGTGGAATTTCTCACTGAAATCATCGCAGAGACGAATCCAGCAAAACTCCACTTTCAAGCCATTATCGTCGACAAAGCACCAGGGCCGAGCCAACGCAGTCGGGTTTCGGCAGAAGTTTTTGTGCAAGGATGGATCCTGGTTTAAGAAGTGCTCCTCGAAGAACAAGACTTTATTGAACCCAGCATTAGCAGACTGGTACGAAGAAGTCACATTCCCGGAATCCCACCTGAGGCATGACTTCCCTGTCTCGGTCACGTTGGTTGTCCCGATGTACTCCATCGCCTTCTCCGACATTCGGCACTCAGGATAAACAGCCGCTAATATGAGAATAGCCGTGAAACACTGCATCCTTCACTGAAAACGATGACTAAACCTTTTGGGTGACGTGCATCAGTTCGGCGCCTAATAATGCATGGCAATTATATTGACATCAACGTATTACGCTTACAAGAAACAAAGCTACAAAACTACAAAATTCGGTCAAACAGGCAACTACTCATCGTAATGTGTGCCATGGCGACTTATGTGGCCAGAACCACGTTGAACAAATTAGACATACTCCTTTTCCTCTATGTCTCCGACGAAATAACAACAGCAAATTTAGAATTAATACAGTAAACATGTATGAGGGTGAGAAAATGTTTGAGCTGTTGGACTTCACCTGAAGGCGATTACACGGCTCCCTCATCCTTCCACGGTGGCGCTATGGGCGGAAGCCAATGAAAAGCAACCAGCCGAGCTGAGACTATCTTATATTCCATCTACCTTTATTCCGCTGTTGTTTTCATCACCTAAGCCGTAGTAAACCCATCCGGATGTATGGACTTTTCTGGCCAGAGGCATAGAATTATTCTAATTTTAGGCGTACAAGCCCATGCCTCTCAGGTGAAGCACTTTTCCTCTTCATCAAGGACAGCGGGAAGGAAGACCATGTTCTTTCCCTAGCACACACATTCCTGATTAATTTGTTCTCCAGCAATCTAAGCATGTCACCAATCGATAGCTTAAGGATGTTTTTGTAAGAGTACACAATGCGACGGAAAATATATGTCAGGATATGAAGATTCGAATCGATCGAATTCGATGGATCAACAGGTGAGAAGACAATCGGTGGAATGAAACGAAGCACCACCACAGCCACCAGTTAATAGCAGAATCCTCAGCTTAGGTTATAAATTATTTATTTCTGTCCAATTCTAGGGCTGTCCAATTAAGTTGTTAGTAAATCTATGGGTTTCGACAAACAAACATCGTCCGGACCATCTCGTCTCTGGTTCGGCGTGAGTGGATGGACAGACCCACCCAAAAATCACGCGCGTTTAGTGCTCGGTCCTACCCTTTCCGCACCCGAGCAACTTTCGTATACATTTTTACGGAATGATTTGACCACCTTCCACCTTCAAAATCGACGGTATTCCCTCTATTGGGTCAGATATTGCGTGCTTTAAAAAAAAAAAACATTTAGTAAGGCATAGCAGGAGGATCTCACGTGGGCATCGCACATCCTTGTCCTGAAACGAGCTGTCCCACGCATCATCAGGCCGGAAGGAGCAGGTGGCATTGTGTTCGAATGATCCGTCCGTGAACCCTGCACGGCAGCTGAATAAAACTTTTGCCCCTGGAGGTGCAGGGTATTTCCCGTCCCAATTCTCATAGGTTATATTCACAGTAATGCCCTCCATCATTGGATGTTCACTCACGCATGACACTGTCGTGAAAGTAGAATACATTGGAAATTGGCATAATGGCGAGTCCCCAATCGGCCGTAACCGCTCCCCTAATTCTACTTCCGGAAAATGGAGAACAAGTATATTTTATGTTGAATGCGTGCGGGAGCGTCCGTACGAGCAGTGCACCACCTAAATTGAAGTTAATAATTTCGAATGAGCGTGCATGTATCCCTCAGAGAGAGTATTATTATCGCTCATCCTATATAATTCATGCTTACCTCTGTTTCTTGCAAGTTGGATGTTTTCAACGTTACACTATCTTGAATTTAAGGTGCGATTTTAAATCTCCTAAAACACTATTTTTTTCTTTACGCGACGTCTTGCTGTTAGAGTTTTTGGTCGGAATTGACAGTGTGGCTCCTGGGAAACTGCAATGTCCTCCAAGGTACTGGCACATTACAGAGTGGCCATATATTGGCATAATTAAATTCCACCGCACACGGCTGGACGACCATCTTGACATATAATCACTAGCATAGACAAACTAGATGGGTTTCACATGGGCAACCGTGAATAACTATTAATACATTGTTTTGGGGTCTTGCCACTCCCGAAGGAGACCTTTCGCTATAATAGGGCGGGAAGGTTTTTTTCTAACTCCATGAAACTCTGAGAAAACCAGGCTTCATCGTTCCAATTGATGAAGGCGAATGGTATGCAGATTTCGAACCAGTGTGATTGGACGATCAACTCCAAGTTGGAAGTTAATGGTCTATAAGATGTTCAATTATGAAAGATCCCAGCTCATTAGTGATGTGCCCCTTCCAAATGTGAGAATGTCTACATTAATCCTGATACAACCATGGCTGTTCAGGCTTGCCTGCTCCTTCGTATTGTTCGTAATAATTTGCTAACATGGTATACAAAGGAGGAAGGTCGAGTTTTTGGAAAATATCGAGAAGTTCTACTCTCTCCCTCTCTTCCGCTCCATCGGAGCAACAGGAGGGACATGTGTGATGCCTATATGATAAACAATTGCAAGCCTTACGAACGCTATCATAGGATCAAACTCAATTGATGTTGAATACGGCACTGTTTTTCCAACTCATCCCTTCCTCCAACTTTCCAAAGACGTGTAAAGTTTTTTAATTATTCCAACATATATAAATCATTGCATTTCGTGCCTAAAATGTGCGTTGCAAAAATAGGGATTGGAAATATCTCTTGATTGACATGCCCATTTTCTAATGGTTTTATTTAAGATCATAGGCCAGTCACCCTTTCGCATTTACACTTTGTGTACGTCAATATGATACATTCCAAAGTGGAAAGACGCGGGACACTAAATAGGTTTTTGCAACTAAAAGTGGACATTACCAATGAAATATCTCAAGATCAAATGTGTCAAGGTCACAGCATATGAAATTAAACTGGCCGTGAACTACTCACACAAAACTCCAGCACCTTAGCTTGCATGCATCCAAAAGCACTCTCTCACTCATGTGAAAGCAAAACAAAATAATGATGCAATATTGTAAAGAACAAATACTTATTGAATGCCACTCGCACTCGTCAGCATCGTATAGACGACAGAACGCTTTGCATAAATTAGGTCTTTGAAATGCTCACGTGGAGGTGGACAGAGGACAAGATTCCGTTTATTTGCGAATGTGGTGCACCACTCATCAGGCCGTATGGAGGCGCAGGTGGCCGTGTGAACCTTACGCCCATCTGTGAATCCTCGTGGGTGAGAGCAATTGAATTCCACCTGACCCCCCTGTGGTACAGGATGTGCACCACTCCAACCATGAAAAGCTTCCTCGGCATTCTGGATCTTTGGGTAGTCCGTAAGGCATAGAACTGCATAATAAATAAATATAGAAAAAATATGAAGTCCAGGAGAGACCGCTATTTCGGACACAGTGATTACTGGTCATATAGGGTAAAATGTAGATTATGGTGGAGCGTTCGTAGCATAAGGACATGCTGAAAGCTACTCTCGGCGTTTCACATCTTGAGCTGGTTCCACTTTAGCTACCTTGTATCGGTATTATAAGTTTTACATCAATTGTAACTTCACTTTAGATCTCTGGTTAAAAGCTTTATTATTTTCCGTTTGACCAGGAACTTTCTTCAACTCCATTCCTTTTATTATTGTTTAGCTTGATTCAATCTAAGCAAATGAAGAGTCACCACTGGTTTCTTCATTTGCTACAGGCATTTTTCCCCCTCTATTCAATCTGTTTTCAAAGTGGATCAATCTCAACAAATGAATTCGATTGGGAAGTTCTGCGTCTTCCTTATTTCTATTTCCAATATCTGAAAAATATTCATGAATGTCAGGAACGAAAAAGGAATAGCTTACTTGGCAGTACCCACATTTTTTTACTCTAAATGTGTACGATAAGCCGCATCATGCTTACGAGAAGGATGGCGATCATATCGGTGAAGATTTAGCTTAGGTTGGAAGTGATGTGGACAATCGCATGGTTTCATGTTTTGCGTATTAATGGAAATCATAATAATTTTTTGTGTGACAGTTATCTTGGTGCCAGTAATACTGAGTGTCAGGTCTGATTGTCAGGCGTTTTCATTATTATAGTACTAATAAAAGGAGCAAAAAGAAAAAGTGATCTTCTGTAAGGCGAGATTACGAAAAACTAAATTCAGGGAAAATCCTATGATAAGAGAACCCCACCCTTAATGCAGTTTTTTTGGATTTGTGTATTAGTGCTATCAACCGTTTCAACATTCAGTTGAATGTAAAGATTCCTATTGTTGTGTTATAGGATGAAGGAAAAGTTTCGAGGTGAAGGGGAAATGAATACTATATATTTACTTGATGCTGTTAACATCTGGTTGGCGATGAGGTTATACAACCAGAAAGAAAGACCACATCCCAATTAATGTCTATAATCCAAGGACAAGTAAAATACAGGTAGGATGGTTTCGAAAATCGTCGTTTTAAGTTAAAAAATACTTTTTTTTTAGAAAGCTGAGCGCCCAAGGCACAACCATGGCGAGTTTTTTCTACGGGGAAGTGAATTTCCTTGCTCATAATAGGGCTACTCCTTGCCATCAGCTTCTCCTTTCAAGACACTCACATTGAACATATGCCTGGAACCCCTCAGCATTGAGGGTATGGCTTTTGTTATTGCGGATCAGCTGACAAGATCCATCGGCTTCCCTGAAGTTGAATGCATGACACGGACGCGATTCTTTATGCTTCAGGCATGACAAACTGCACTCCAAGAAGTCCATCCCTGTCATCTTCTCAGAGACGTTTCCATATCGTTGTCCTTCAAGTGCAGCATAATATGTATCGACTTCGACCGATTCTTTCCAAAACAGGCAGGAAAGCACAGCCAGCCACATGGAATCTCCCGCCTCTCTATATTCAAGCGAAAATAATTTCAAAAGAAAATTGGGCATTTCATTGTTTTTCAGGCATAATACTGTTTCTCTTTAAAAATAAGTGGTAAAGAAAATATAGAAATTTCATGTAACCATTAATTTAAAATGAATACATTTCAGTGCATTCAGTGTAAAGCATTGCTTGTGTCGGATGCAAATCGATAAGCATCTCAATCGAATCTACTTACGGCTAATTGTGAAATTATGAACATTGTGCGGAAAAACCAATGAAGATGGTAGAGAATCGAAATGCCCCATGAATGCATACACAAGCTTTGCATTGTTTTTATACAACTCACCTCTGAAGTAGCATGAGGGCGAAGATGACCGTTTTTTTTTCAGAATTTCTCTGCTTGATTAACGTTCACCTATGAGTGAATATATGGTGAACGAAGATAAGGTTGCTAGCAAGACTTGAAGATGTCTATCTACCTTGCCAGCCTATGGATGCAGAGACGGCTCTCGTGAACAGGAATTCCCAAAAGAATGGTAGAAGCTGCTGGCATAACGCCGGCATTCCAAAGCCCTTACATGAAAATGTGTGCTCTCGTGGGAGCACACATTGATGTCATAAAATATCCTATTTCTGCCTTTGCAAGAGAATTGTTTTGGTATTTGGAAGTATAATTATGTTTCGAAGGGCAGAGAGGGGGCATGCATATGTCTAAGCAGTTAAAGGGAGCGTAGCGTTTAGTAGAAAAAATTTGATCATGACCAAATCAGTTTCACTGACAACTCCGTTGCCAAAAACCCAAATTTCATCCAAGAAGGACTGATCAGAAAGTAATCGCTTCCGATATGGGACTTAGAAACAGCGGTCATGGGACGGCCTTGCTTCAGGTCTGATCGCGACAAAAACAACAAAGTGTATATTTTGGAATACTAGTGAAAAGAAAGGAATTGTGCCGCTGTGTTGATGAGAAAAGCGGCAATATCTTTTTTTTTAACGTGGACTGGGACGGACATACACAGACAAGGACAATTGCCACAAGCGGCGACACTGAGTAGAGGAAAGGGAATTCTATATCGGACATCCCTGACGGCATTGCCCCACCTTCCCACGCTTCCTTTCCTGATGTATCCCGATTTTACGGGCCCGGGGAAGGTGGTGGCAACTTCGATGCCGCTCCGGCCATAGGCCCTCCATCGCTGCACATCGAGCCGCCAGGCCAATGTGGCGGGTGCTATTGAGGTGCACAAAGCCCATTACCACTCGCACCATGGAGCATAGAGTGGCCTATGCTTCAGCCCAAGGGAGAGCAGGTAGTACCCGAAAGCAGCCGGGTGAACTGTCGACCCAGTGGAATACCGCCTGCCGCCGGACGGATTCGAACCTGGACCTCCCGCGTGCGCCCGGGCATTATCCACTGAGCCACGGTGACGCGGTGAGTGGCAACATCTTTACGCTTGATGCCGTGAATTTCACAAAACGGCCATTTGAAATGCAGAGTGAGTGGTAATGAATAATTTGTCAGAAGGTCGTCGGCAGTCTAAAGAAGGAAATCGCTGAGTGGGGAGCAACGTCTTATGGGTCCATGATTAGTTTTACAGGTCTTGTCTTTGAGTATCTAGGCAAGAGGTTATTATAAGTCTGACATAGTGTGAGGGAATGTGGGATACAGCCCTAAACGAAAAGGCTAGGAAACAAGACCTCACTCTCAAAAAAAGATTTTAGAGCTCAAAAAAGCTAACGTACTTCCGTTAAAAGGAAAATCTGCAGAGATCAGACGGACTCTAAGAAATTCATCAATTTACGGTAAGCGGAAGGGGGAACAAACGGGGACAGGTGAGAGAAGGCAAGGACACACTCAAGCAGGCAACCCGAAAACCCCAAAAAAGATCGCCCTGCATGTTCTATCCACGTGTATATAAGCACAAGGGATGACCCCAATTGGATCTCCGGATTGGTGTCTCTCAGCACCAATATGTAATTCTAAGCGCTAAATGCAACAAACAACTATTATTGCAGACCAAAATACTGAAAGTCTATTATATGTATTTCAGAAGGTCGTGCCACAACACGTTGGAGATGATTCCCTTCCGCTGGACCAACTAGAGGCCATCGCGAAGGTACTCCTTCCTGGGTTCCATATCCATTGCCCTAGTTACCCATTCGCCCTATCCGCTTCGGCTACGACCCCATATCGATCGAAGCCTGCCTCGCCCAGCTACGTGGATTCACCTCATTTGCCAGGATCTGCAGTCAACTCACTATATTGATTTCAATGGAGCCGAGGAAACCATATTGTAACATGCTACCTTGCGTTTCGTGATTCCCATTTTTATTAGATTCAATACAACAACATCAGCGAATTCATACAGAGTTCATTTGGTGTCACAACCAAAGAAACTGGCCTGGTAACCGTTAGTCAATAAAACGAACGTGAAATCCATCCTTTCCAAACTAAATTTGGCCTTTTAGAAATGAAGTTTCTCGTAATTTTCGTTTTTTTTTAATTCAATGAATTATACATGTTTTTTATTAGTTATTACCAGTGAACATTGGTATCGGACACCAAGTTGTGCCATCATTGCCATTGACCATTAGAAGATGCAAGCAACCGATCCCGTTGCTCAATGAGGGACAAACTAAGAAAATGTAGGAATGTGAAAACCAATTTTCCGAAATTGTTCCTTTCTTCAACCATAGTTCAACCTCAACCTCAACCTCACCACCCCACCAGCACCCCCGGGCCCAAACTTCTCTAGCCAAGTGGTAATGAAAATGAAAATTTAATTAATTACCTGTATTTCGAAAAAACTTCTCCCCTTGCTTCGGATTAAGAGGCACATAACGACAACGACAACCAGAACTAATGAGGAAAGGGCGATAGAATAAAAAAAAAAACAACTGAGAATTTCGCACAGAAAACCTTCCCTCATGCAATCCCTAGCTCGTGTTTTTGGTGTTCAATAATTCAAAGGCCCCAGCGACGCGAGGTGGCAGCATCAATCAAAATGCTTTGAGTGTTGTTTGCTAACATTTTTGGGAGTAGTTTCCTTAAAGTGAGAGTGGGTCTGGGGCTCCTGCAGTAGCCGCAGCCTATGCAGATGAGTTACATGAAGAGAAATTCGTGAAATGCACATGGTGCCCCGAAATTATTGGTGTTACAAAATATATGAATTTCACGCAGAACAAACTAACAACAAACACATGAACTCGCTCTGATCGCGCCTTCGGCGCATCATTGTCCAGGATAGTGATTCATGCATTAATTTATTTTCGAAGTGGCAAAAGAGTATAGAGAAATAGGTGCCCCGCAAATTTCGGACTTATGCGTTTCCCCTTTTCGCTGGTGCAAAAACATCTAAGGAAGAGGCGACCAAGCCAAAACAGTGCCCTGAGGGCATACGCTACAAAAGTTGATTTTTTCTGAACTCAACACCACCTAAGTCATGCATGTGCCAAGTCTAATCTCTGCCCACTTTGTCTGGACAAAAAACAATTGAAAACATAACCCGAAAAAAAATTGACTCCAGGGGATGTATCGAACCATCATATTTTTCCTGAACTCCTTATCTCAGTAATCACATCCATGGAAAGTTTCAACTTTCCATGTTCATCCGTGTAACTAAAGCAAAATATATTATCTTAAAATCTATCCCCCTGGAATTTGTACCACCAGTGCAATTACTTGCAATTTCGGATTTTTTCTGAACTCGGCATCCCAATATCAATTTGCCCATCAAGTTTCAGATTTATAACTTAACTAGGATACTAATAGAATAAGCGTCATTCAGTCACTCAGTCACGATCGTCTATATGTATTAGATTAGCGAGTTTGCTAGCTATTCAGGTAAACAATCTCGCTATGGACGGCACTCTATAATATTAGAAAATGTTGTACTAATTTGAAACGCCTGTCCGATGCGGGCACCAACCCAAAGTTGTCAAACTCAAAGATAACGAGAAAAAAAAATATTTCCGAAATGTACCTCATAACATTGGATTGTGCGCCAGGTTACATCTCCCTAAATGAGCATAATACGCTTAAATAAACTTTTTTCAGAAAACCAGGAATTCATCTTAAACATGAGAATTTTCTGATATAATAATCTCAACGGCATTGCTGCAAGTATTCGCATTCTATATCTTGGAAACTCGTTCAAGCGAAAGCACTTCCTGGAAAAGGCATTTTCGAAAAAAGGCTTAAAAGTCTTTTTTTTTCTTCTACTCAGCATCTCAATAGGTGCTTGTGCATTGCTACCTCCGTTTTTAGACTATATCTAGATCGTTTTTAGAATTAGCGCAAAGCACTTACTTAATCTGTCACGAGAATTTATCTGCTAATACATTTGGTAGCATGGTAATAAGTGAGGGAATGGACCCTTCTATGCCCTCACTCACGTTTGCGACGGAATCGATGCCCTTAATCTGTTTTTTTTTTATTCATTCCTGGCCCGAGGTGAAGTAATTATTGAAACTCAGTTACTTTGAAAGTCAAAAACTGGAGAAAACATGAATATTTCTAAGTGGAATCCATTTTTAGAGTACTGTCGGACATAGGGCACTATCATCAATTAAAAGTGACTGAAAGCCTACCTTACTCTTGACTTTCTCTGGCGTTACAGGAAAATAAGAATATAATGCTTTCAGGGTTTCAGCTTGGTCCGACACTCATTTCTCCCCAGTTACTCTGAAAGGTAAAAATCTATAGCAACTCCACCTCTCTACGAAACGTTTCCCGATTGGTTCGACACGGTCACGTGATATTGCATGCAGAAACATTGGAAAGTGAAATAGGGGAAGAGAGAAGCCTTCCGTCGTTCACGATGGCCCCATTTGGGAGGATCTATGTTATCCTCTTCTCCCTTCTGCCTTTGAAGCCGGCATCATCCTTCCGCACCTATTACTCTGTTCACCACGGTAAAAGGTATTCGAATGCGTCCCTGGAATTCCAGGCTCGGAGTAAGGGGGATTGCAATATGCGCTGCGTAAGCCGACGCCCAAAACCTTGCAACGCTTTCAACTATCGTGACTCGGATGGATCCTGTCAGCTGATTCTAAATGGCAAAAGTGCTCTCATGCCATCCGAAGGACACCTGGCTTACGTGCAGAGTAAGTCCATGCATTTTTTTAACACGTTCCCTATCTTCACTGCCAGGTAATCACACTGCAATTTTTACGTTGTCATGAAACGACACGTGTCTTGGGATTATGAGACGAGGAGCAGCACTCGTCAGAATATCAAACATTTACTTCCATAATTCATAATCTTTCATCAAGTCTCTTCGTCCACAGAACTCTGCCTGGTAGAGTATCCAATTATAGAGAATGCGCTGGTATCATTCGATGGATGGAATGGTGCACACCCCGCCCCAAGTGGCTCCCGTATTGTCTTCACCTGCCCTGAAGGATTCACAGATGGAGCAACACACCACAATGCCACCTGCTGTGAAGCCCCTGACACCTGGTGCACTACTTTCCTCTTGTCTGGTGTCCATTGTCCCAAATCCCGTAAGATATCTCCTTAATCTCTGCCACTTCCTGAAAATGTACCTATTCCCAGTGAAAACAAATAATCTCTTGAAAATACCTCGACTAATAATTGCTGTGTGTGCTCATGAAAACTCGTCTAATTTCAGAGTATCAGGGTCTGAAAAGGTAAGGCACAGGCTACTAATCCTAATTCGTTATTACAGTCAATTGCACACAGATAACAGCTGCAACCTGTTTTCCAGTTCACCGCTTCTCTTCCAAAGGGTCAATATTATATACTGTACTAAGGAGTTTGTTTGCCCTTTAGGAAAACAAACTCGCTAGTTAGGAGGAACCGATATTTTTTATCGTAATAATTACTGCGATCGTTTCTTATATGCCTAATTCCAAATCTCATCATAATATGCCAAGAGGGGTCATATTTCAAAAGTAGAATTTGCACTCAGCAATCGAACAGGTACTTCCGTACCAATTTTAAAATTGATTTTGTTCCCTCTTTCAATGGGTCAGAAAGGATTCTGGAAAATGCGCCTTACTATGAAATGCACCCTCTTGGGTTTTACCTAAAAATTAATAGTTTTTACTGAAATCATACTCGGAGGAGCA